AATCGTCTTGTTTAACGTGGATGTCGTGATTTGTATCAAGTATTCATTTCGTGGGTCAATCTAAAACGTTGACATCACTTAATGACTATCAATAATCGCTTCTTTTCGATTGTAGTTTGACTATCACGACTTCTAACACAGGACTGTATTCTTTTTTTCTCTTGTCATGGTATCTTTTCATATAACTTTTATCCATGCTTTCTGAAACTGCTGAAGTTTTCCTCCATATTCGTGCATATCAAGTATTCTATTTCCAAAGGTACGTGAGAAATCTTCAGTCTCCAATTTCAGATAAACCATGCTCCGACAATGTAAAATCCGTAGTGGGTTTGAAAATATAAAAATAATTGTATTTCAACTTTTACACCAAGTTACTAAATAATGCGAATTGCAGTCTTCCCAAATTCTTAAACTTCCATCGGTCGTAATGAGATGATGGATTAACTAATTACCCGGTTCGCGTATTTTGCGTAAGCTCAGGCAAAGTCACGTGCCAGCTGTTCATTGAAAATCTATCGGTGTTCCCCTTACTAACTACGTAACGGCAACGCCACGAGACTTACCATTCACGAGGCCGAGATATGCTTTCAAGAATGGAAACGGTGGCAACGTTGTACGCGATGCTTTCAACCGACACCTAAATTGAGAGCCAGTTTAAGGCTAATTCACACTCGGTGGGCGTGAAACGAATTGCAGTACTATAATCTTCACCACAGACATTAATCCCATTTTTCATATTTCACTGACACCACGGAATTGATGAACACTGTGACCACTGCTTCTTCGGATTTACTTTCCACTTTTAGTCAAAAACACTGAATTATAGCAAATAGCGTAGGGAAAAGTCATCATTCTTCTTCCATTCTGCACTTTATAAAAAAAAAAAAAAAAAAAAAAAACAAATTATAACACGTAATCAATAGGTTAATACGTTAATATATAAAATTGATTTATTAGTTATGTCATATGATCTTCAATTGTGGATCATACATTATAGTTGTCCCCTAGAATTCCTAAGATGGTGGCGAACTATTTTAGAAAACGATGGAGAAGAATAGTAAAGGGAGCGGGAGAGAATTTTGATGATCCGACGCATTCAGAGGAGTTCCACGCATTCATACTTATATATTTATAGCTTTTAGACTAGACGGCATCGCAAGATTACAAAACGCATCTGTTGCTCTAAGATTGGCGCGCTACTACGGAAAGTATCCATGTCTTCTTGTTGTAACCTCTGCGGGAACGTTCTTCTTCCCTCAAGAGAGTAGCAATGGATGTAATATCCGCGATCCCTTTGATATTAGATATGTCTACAGAGTAGACAGAATGCGAACTATGGTATAAATTTCCCTCGTTGAAATGGCTTGGATGGATGATATCAGTTATCATTACTCCCACTTATTATTCATCCTGTCAGTCCAGATCCAGATGTGCTTTTCGAAGGAACCATAGTTTTTTTTTCTTCAAACTGGATAAAGTAATACACTGGGTAACATACTGAGTATATTCTAAAAACGCTATATTTTTGTACAATTTTTATTGAAACATTATCTTACAATTACGTTACAACGATTTTGTTATAAAACTATTACAGAGTACGAATGTATTATGATAACGTTTCGATAGCGTATAATTTTGTTGGCTCGGAGAATACCTCTATTACATAGTAGGCTATTGTGTTCGATGACTATAGGAATTTAAAACCCTCGCATAAGTTATACAACGCGCCATTGAATTGTGGACCTTCTGGCATTCCATTGTCAATCTTCAATTCAAGAATTCGCCAAGTACATACCATTTGAGATAAAAAAAAAATAGATTGTTGTCCCTAATTAGATCGTCTAAAACGGTTCATGAACTTTTCTAAATATTTGTTATGTTTCTGCCTAAGGTTACAGTTATTCCGTTGGAATTTGAACGGGTAGAAGCTTCTTCTGTCAACGTGGTTATCGGCGCTTGTAACTTAATTATTTCATGAGTTCCTTTATTGACATTATCAGCGTGTGTGCAATTAGGTAGGATATCCCTATCGTTACGTTTGTACGAGTTTACGTGACTTAACATTCGGTACACTCGACGGGGGTCGGTTTTGTTTTATTGCTGCATTATCAGTCACAGATCTTATCTGGTTTCAGGTGGTTTATTTTCTTTTGTGGTACCAAAATGGCTGCTCACCGCGGAAACCGCAAGCAGGAAATTCGAAACCATTGAACTACATTTTCTACGGATTAATCACCGACAATGCTCGGCTCTCGATAATATGCACACGTTAACTGCAATATTTTTAGCTCCAGGCTGTCAAGGTGCGTTTCATTAAACCACCGTATCCTTCCGTTATTATCCACTATTACTGCGAAACACGCAAAGCGTTATTAATACTTTGGAGAAACATGGCGTGTGATATCTGACAGGTTGTCTTCTTCATAAAGAAGTTTTATTATACATACAATTTATGAGAGACACGGTGTCCTGTGCAGGCTTCAGTTCATTCATTTTATAGCTATAAGATTTGTTGAAACAAAGTACTTTAGGTGACGAAAGATGCAATATTTCTGAACTTTAGTATTATTACTACAGCTACACTGTAAATACATTTACAGTCTTCAAAAATCCACTACGATATACTTAAATTGTTTATATAGCGAGTATGTTTCATTTTCTGTCAATCAACACAGATATTAAATTTGAATGAAAAGAAATGACTTTCAGCAGGCTAAGTTCTGGAAGTTAGGATGGGCGCATCTGTAAATTAAATCAGCCGGCATCATGACCCGCTTACAGAGTAGAGGGGGTTCGAACGTTGAGGCGGCGCCATTAACAGTACGCTTACTGGCGCGTGCATGGCACTGCTTGTTAGCCGTGAAATATTTTCGAAACGATTGAAAAGTTCGAATCTTGGTGACCGTGGACCATAGGATAACGTAGGAAGGAAATATAAACTTGTCAAATTAATTTCTTTTGAGAATTGTAAGTAGACCGTCAACGATAATTCAGAATCGTATTTTACGATATAGCATCATATAGCACATGGTATACTAAACTATTGAACTACCAGATACACGGTAACTGTGGATGAGACATGGTGCAATGTCGAATTTCTTTCACTCTGAGTATAGTGTTTTACTTCCATTCGCCATTATACTTCTATCCTCCATAAGTCCCTAGATGGAGCTTCGCCATCTTGTGCGTCTTTCTGGACAAGTTCTTTCTTTGCTCATAATTATATTGTTTAACATTATCACATTCTAATTATTTCGATATCGTAAAGCATTTAAAGATAAAGATAATGCAACTTAGAGTAAAAAATTATTCTGGGACACAAATTAAGATAGCATGGTTCTTCCTTCATCGTGTTCTTGGGGTTTTTCGTTTCGGGTATTCATAGTTGGTATATCTGTGTGTGTTGACGCCCAAGTGTTTAATCCACTAATAACAACAAGTGGGTGCAGTTTTGTCAGGTGCATCCTTCACATTCTTCAGTGGCTGATGAACACGACAAAAATCGTTGTACGTAAATTTTTGTTTTAGCAGAGAAAAATGGCTATTTTAAAGTCCTGTTGGTCACCATTTATCTGGGCGAACGATGTTAAGACAGGATCCAAAGCGATTGCCTTCTACACAATTGTATGTATCTTTGAATCAATGTAATTTGTTTTTTGTCTCTATTTATTCTTCATCTATTTTCACTATTATTTAATACATCTGTATGTTATTCCAGGCGATTAGTATAATACATGTTACACTAATCTCTTACCAATTAAATGGAGGAGATTCAACACAACTGTATAATCCTCTATTTGAGGCTGATGTCAGAATGTGTAAGTTACAATACATACTTGAAAATAATATATACTATTGGATTCTTACATTAAACATTTTCAGCTATGCAAGTTGTTGGAGCGTTCTTTATATTATACTTTACTCTGCTGATCATATCAGCATTATTAATGGTATATGGAATAAAAGAAGGAATACGAGGATGGTTACTCCCTTGGCTTATATTATGGTTTGTGGCATGTTTATTCCAATTAGTATTTGGGCTTTGGCTTGTAGGAGGTTACTATATCTATGTAAGTTCTCATTTATTCAGTGACTAGTATTTGAATAACGCTCATGAATTGATTCTGTGATATTTCCTTTCCAGCTTGATGCAACATTTGCTGCAATGTGTATTTGGCTTTGGATGGCATACAATGTGAGTATATAGTAATCTGTTTATTACATTTTCATACTAATTATGAATTTTGTATATCAGATCATGCTATATAAACTTATATGTTTTTACAGATATATTGTTGGTTTGTTGTGTTGTCGATGTACAAAGTCTTTGAAGAATTACAATCTCCAAACATAGAGCTTCTATGGCCATAAACACTCTGAGAAGTCAACTGATAAGGCATACAGTGCATTGATCGACACCAAAGTAAGATACAGTATATTTAGAGATGGATATATCTACTTTATTTTGTACATTTCTATAATCAGATGAAGAACATAATTTAAATCAATCATTGACTATCATTGTTTGCTACGTTCAATTTGGTTATTATTATTTATTTTGAAGTATTTAATACCACATTGACGTTGCAATCACATGAGTACCATACTTAAGTGTCATTAATGTACAATTAATTTAATGTCTTGAGAATATGCGACTTCATATTATAACAGAAGACTGATATTGGTCTAAAGAAACATCCGTCCAGATTTCAGAGATCTTTATACATTTGCCGATAAATTTATGTAATAGAATTTGTAGTTGGTTGCTTTACACAACCAAAAACATATGAGCTTTTAATAAACTTCTATACTAAACACAAATATTTTAGTATTCTGCAATATTTGTAAAAAGCTTTTATGATTAATGCAAGGGTAAGAATGTTAGTACAATTTATACTTAGAATTAATATATTTTATTAACATGACAATAGTTTTATTACGTGTAATTATACGAAACCCGAATGAGATTATTCATCATGTGACGAAAAATGTTCGTATTAGTTTTCCAATAGAAAATAAATATTCAAACGATTACTATCGAAACAATGCACTAATTCTTTCCTTGATTTCACATCGTATAAAATTTAAGCAAAACGTTAATCAAAAGTATGCAATCGACGTCAAAAAGACGAAATCATCTTGTCTGAGACATCGAAACTTCGAAAGACTTTACGTAAAACCGAATCAAAGTAATATTAAAGTTTACGTTGGTCTCGATTAATGTTTCAAAAAGTATGTAACACAACAAATAAGTATATGCACTGTGGAATAAAGAATAACATTACTTACGTGTCCAACATTATTGTAACGGTTAATTGATACCTATAAAACGTAGAGGACCGGCAACCGTTTTATTGCAGCATTCGTAATGACCGCACACGTTCAAATATGAGGAAATGTCGATCTGATAAAAAAAAGAAAATTTAAAAATAAAGACTGTTCATATTCAGGAATGGAAGGATGAGTGAGAAGAAAAAAGTATTAAAAGACGATTCATGTTTAGGAATGGAAGGATGAGTGAAAAGAAAATAAAAACGTGAAATAAAGAGCGAATGTACGCGCGGAAATGTAAAAATGTGAGAAAACTTAGATTCGAAATAAGCGGGCAGTTATGGAAGGGTGAGAGAAAGGCGAATAATAGGCGATAAGCAAAAGATGGCGAATCACTCAGTAGTGTAAACAAGGAATGTATACCTTAGGCACTTGAATAAAGATGTAAAATGGAAAATGGATGTCGATCTGACATCTGGTGAATTATTCGAAAATCAAATAAGGAAACCTACATGAATCGAGCGTAAGCGAGCTTTTAGTGAAAGTCAAATATAAATTAAAATGAAATGACGAATTACAGTCAGTAATTTCAGAGTAATTTTCACTTTTGTATTGCTGTATTATTACTAATACTCTGACACCTTAACGATTAATAAACTTCAAACTTTATAATTGAAGAATATCTTCATAGATGGCGTGAAGATGCAGAAAATCAATGAAGAATAAATTTTGATAGACACCGTGAAGTAGAATTACATTAGTATATAATGTATATTTAAAATCTATTTTTAAACGAAATGTACGTAAGCTATCAGAATTAATATATATATATGTATGTATTTCAAAAAAAGATATCTTGAACATGGCCAATACTTTTTTTGAAAAATCGCCCTGCGAGAATAAATTTAACTTGCAAAAATATTTTAAATACTTTAATATTTACTGTAAGTTTTTATTGAAAATATTGGAACATAAAAAGATAGATACCTACGTAGCGACCTCTATAGGCAAGTCTAGCACCTAATGTAGTTCTCGTATCCAACGCTAGGTGAAGAACTCGTTCAGCTCTTTCTCGCATGTGTTTTTGTACCTTCAAAAGTATAAGAGGGCTGCTACATCCTGAGTAGGTATCGCTTCTCGGCCTTATGGCTAAGATCAAAGTGTAGTATCTGTTCTTATCAGCTTAATATCTGATACACTCCCCATTGGGGAGTCAGAATATTAATCTGATTTTTGGAAATTGACGGAGCAGTTGGAGCTTGCTCCACCTCTGTCGCGAGTCGGCCTGGCATTGCAGTGCCGTCAGGATCGGCTCAATAATTCAATTACAAAAATAAAACTTACAGCTTTGTTTAGTATAAGCAATTGTTTGAATTTACCAAACACTTGGTATTTTCACAAGTATTGTGTTATAATACTCAAAATTCCGTTATTTTCGATTATTACTACGGTAGTAGGTATTACAGTAGTAAACCTATTTTTGTAGTTTAAATTATGATATTACAGACCACTAATGTCTAGTAATAGTGGGGGTGATAATGGAGTAAGTTTTTATTGAGGGCCTTCTCCATTCATGGATTTTTTCTTCTTTTGACTATTATGGATGCTTTTTTTTGTTCCATTCAGCCTAAGCTACGAGTGCGACTCCGTAGTAATTCGACTCGTAGATTCTGTTTTGGACCGAATGCATGAACACGATGCAGTTCATTCGCTCCGTGTAAAATGAATGGAGGCTGAATGGATTAATAATAATGCAATGCAATACTTTGATTTAATCACGAAGTTTCGAGTGGCATGGTCGTGACACGATCAAATGTAAGTGGAAGAATTGTTGGAACTGTGATTCCACGATTGTAGGTGTAGCGTTAGCGAAAGAAACTTGGGCGCTTTCTAAGTCTCTCCGAAGTTGTCCTGTTCCTGATACGGTGATTAATGGCTACTCGAGAAATCCTCCCTCGTGGGACCACCGTGTTCGCGACTGTCGATGTCGATATTAATGGACCGGTACCAGTGAAATGTTTCGTATCTTGCATGTAATTAGCAACTCCGCCTGTCTTCAGGAAGAGAGAGCGCGCACTTGACAAATTTTCACGAAGCTACGGTCCCCGCCCGTGGAAATTAAGATACGATCTGCGACAGTGGTGTAAAATGTATCGAGAAAGTTTTATTTATTGGCTCTATCGATAATGTCATCCTACAGAATGAGATAGTCCCGTGGATATTAAATTAAAATCATCATTCATCTAGTTCAGTCGTGATGCAAACGGTTGAACCGTAAAACCTTTCGTCTTTCAATGTTTGAACAATTCAATTATATTTTAGATCAGCATATAAAATTTTAATAGGAAAGTCGATTGTTGCTTTCCATAAATTAATGAACAATATTCTCATGGACATTTATGTCCCTTAGCTCCAAACGCCGAATGATTAACTGAACATAAATACCTCAGTGTGAATGCAAAATGGCAAACGCCAACAACCTATATAAAGTGAACAAAATTTACAACCAAGGATATATTTTTCGACATGTCTTTCGACAGTCAACAATGGTTTCGTAAAAGATGGTAGGCATAATAACGTACAATCTTTATTGTCACGACCATACTTTCACTTCTCGTTCGACCACGCCCGAGGCAATCGATCGCGATGATCATAAGCATCCATATACACTCGTACATTAAATGTTAATTTGTGTCTATGGCAATTCCAGATATGACCGAACGACAGTGAACGAAATTGCTCATTCCTTTGCTACCAAAATTTGAATTTGAATTTCTATGAGAAAATAAAATTAAAGTTTGAAAGTTATATTTAAAAATGACTTTACTCTCTTTTCGCTTGATCAAATTTACTCAGACGAGCGATAGAACGTTTCACTTAAAAAGTTCTGCGTTTTTGTCGAGAAATTAAATTGTATTACACGTGTGCTATCATTTTGTCCAGTACTGTAAATAATTCCGAAATCGCGATTGTCCGATTATTTTGACTAGTGTAAAATAATGACCGGTGTTCCAGTATCATCGTTCGATGGTCTGTTCTCGGTTTGATCTCGAAGGTAATACCCAACAATTTCATAATATTATCGTGAACACTGACGGTAGATAAAAAAACAATAAACTGGAATGATAGTCGAATCGTGGAGATCGGCATTGAATACACGTCGACAAGGGCTTTCACGGTTGTTTGCTGCGCAGGTAGCGTTTCTTCCAGCCCCGTCTTACCTTTCCCGATAGCTCTACATGCGCATACAGACGCATTAAATTGTAGGCGGCACAGAAGTGCTGATAAGACTGATACCGCGCATGAGGCGTCCATAAATGGCGTGTAAAAGTATGAATGGGACATTCTTCTTCCACCGATAAAGCGACGAGAAAATGCCCCTCGTTTCTTTATAGCCTTGTTCGGATCGCGTATCCACATTTTCGAGGACGTTGCGAGCAATGTGGCGAATCGTGGTACTTTCAAAGACAAAATGGTCCCCTGTAACAAGAGAACGAATGAAGAATAATTTGAAATGAAAAAAGATAGAAAGACAGGAACGATACACATATACTGAATCTAATAAGTATTTTTACTTATTTGGACTTTCTTTGCTTCTTGAATTGATAAATTCTATATCAGCCAGAGTAAATCTTTGTATTGTCCGTAAATAAAGTAAATTGGTTTCTTCAGATCACGGGACGATTGTAATGTAAACATTTTTCGGGGCAAAATTTTCGTTTTATTTTAGATGTTTTTTTCTGTCTACAGTAAATTCCACTATAGCGCGATCGAGCTCAGGCGAATCAGGCTGTGATGAATTATTAAATTCTCGATATTGCGCAGCCACGTACTCACCAGGAAATCAATTTTATGGACGATATTATAATTTAATGGATATACGGTGAGTTCCATCGACTAATGTCGGTGTATCAGATTTACGATCCATCGCAGTTAACGGTTATAAGCGCGATTAGATCTTCCCGCCACGTGACAGCTATTAGGGGTCACGTTCATCTCGCATTGAAGACATCAAAAAGTTGAATGTTTCCTTATTACGTTCTTTGAAATTATTAATTGTTTTTTCAATGGAAAATATTTTATACGCAAAAATTATACCAAATTTCTCCTTCCAAATATTATTTTATAATCTAGTATGTATAATACTTTCACGTTACAAATAAGTTTGTAAATATCATCGTTGATTAATATAATTATCAATTATTCATACATTTGGATCATTTTTAAGTTTTTTTGCATACAAAGAAACGCAATAAAATATCGGTTAAAGTTAACATGGAACTTGGAAAAGGTTGTCCAGATAGTATCGCTCGATTCCCAGTAAACGTAACTAAACGAACGCTAAAAGGGCGTTCAGCCGTGGAGACAAATCGTTCAATTAGCAGCGGACGCGATCTAGCGCGCGCGTTAAGTCGCAGTAAATATTTGTTTGCTCGTGTGTCCGTTGGGAACGAACCCGATGCGAACTAAAGAAGCGTGGTAGGTACGTGGATCGTCATAAAAGTTCTTACAAGATCATTCGAGCATGAAACTTCGAACCAGTCCGACGTCGACCGTTCCAAAGAGAACCACGCGAATTCTAACGATGACACTCGCTCGTTTCGTAAGTCCACTGTTCGCGGAGATTCGAGGTGTCAGATAAGCTTTCAAGACTTAAACTTTCGCTGTCCACCGCGTTCCAGCACGTGTAACGAGATGCGACAGAGTTAATTATTGTTTCAGTTATTGCTGGAAAGGTTGACGCTCGGGGCCCGTTCGATCGTGTTCTAAAAACGCGAAACACGCTTATGGTAATGCGTTTAACGTGTCGGCGTTTAATTTGCGCAAAATACCTCGTAACGATGGAAAACGGTTCGAAGAGCGCTAGTAATGAGTGAACAGAATTCAATAGACCACGCTTTATCGCGAGGATAAAGATTCATCCCGTACCAGAAATTCGAGTTTTTCGATGAGCATGGGTAGAATTAACGATGTTTAGAGAGGATTTATTAATCATATTATTCTCGCGATAGAGAAGGGAAGAAAAACTTGTCTGTAATTCCAAAGCGATTAATTCTCTAAGGGTAGCGCTTTGGAATGACTAGCAGAGCCTGAAACAAGAAGTGGCAATTTTTCTGCTGGAACAACAAATTTATATACCGATCTTTGAAGGTCACTTGTCAAGGAATATATTTAAATATCGGCAACTACGAATCGTACAGGAAACTTCGATAGCAAAGCACATGGAAGTAGCATAGTAATCGTGACAAACACATTGAAAGATCATGCTCACTCGGCATACAAAACAGATTTGTCCCAGCCACATGAATACTAATAAGTGTCTTGTGGTCCTCCTGGGTGGCAACTTAATAGACCTCCACGACGAATCTGATGATTTCTTTGACATCCTTAGACCAAAATTTTTTGTAGTCGAAACATACTTATTAGAGACCACGCGAGTTTTTCTTTCATCGAAGCACTACGGTTAACATACTGTTTTAATAAATCAATATATTCTTCGTGAAAAAAATATGTTAATTCTTAAAATATGTATGCAAAATTGTAAAGAGCTATAAACAGCTTTCGAGTAAAAAAAAAAAAAAAATAAGAGTCTTGCTTTAGTGACCTAGACTAAAAGTATTAATACCTTTGAAATACATATTTCAGCAATAATTTGTCTTATGCCAAATAATATAGGTTCTTTTATAAATATCTACAAATAAGCATGTAAAACTTGAAAGAGCTATTATCAATAGCGTCTCAGTAAAAAAATTCTCAAAGAAACTCTATTTTTAGCGTTCTGGAGTAGATCCCCTAACGCGACGCTGATTGCGATGCTCGCGATGCACGCAACGACGCGTTTCTCGCTTTATGTGCGCGCGAGTTAAACTCAATGTGGCTCCTTCCATCTACGCGCCTGGACTGGTCGTGATCTTTTATGAAAGCATAATGCTCGCAAGCAGATCCACCTCGGGGATACTTCACAGTCATTACGAGCGATTCCGTTCCTTTAGCTCTCTCTGTGTCCCGCCGCGGGCCTTTTTTCCTCCCCGCCACCCCCTTGCCGCTTCGTTTTCTTGATTATTCGCGTTTCGCACGGCGGAATCGTAAATCGCGAAACCGGCTTAACGAGCGGTGGACAACGAGTCGTGAAACGGTCGCGGCGAACCTCGAGGCATGGCCAAACGCGCCGATCACCGATCGGTCGCGGCGATTATAATTGCGCGAGACGAGGGTGAAATCCTTCGTGCACCTACTTTACACATTGGAAACGAGGATTTCAGTTCTCTGACTTTATGACAGGACACCTTTGAACCAGTGATGCCAGAAACGAGCATGATGTTGAAAAACAACAAATGTCGTTAATAATTGAGTTAACTATTGTCAGAAATTAATATTTAATTGATCCAATCGATAGATATTACAATATTGACAAATTTCTCACGATTAATATCTCGAATGAATACTTGTTCCGTACTGTGATCGTTGTTAACGTTTAATCGAATAAAATGAATCCCACTTCCATCATAACGACAACCTACCTTAAGATTCCAAGGGCTCGATTCCCTTCCTGGACCTCCCACAAAAATTCGCATATTTTCCTACGTCGTGTCATCGACGAATGTCGAACGTGTCGACATACTTATAAAAAGAACAAAAGGCTCTCTCTCCTTCCCTCTGGGCGCTCGTGCTATTCTCTACTTTCTAGTACGACACGGGCCACGGGGAATAATACGGGAAGAGCATCGTCTCCTTCGATGCAGGTATGATTTACGACGTGTCACAGGAGAGGTCGTCAGTCAAATTGTTTCACATTGATTTTGAGGTCGAGAGGCTCGTACCGTAGCACGGTTCTGCCCACACGCGACGTCTCCGCGAATGCATTGTGGTTTCCAGGCGCTTATTTATGCGCGGCCCGCCGTTTCCGCCCCTTCCGCTCTTTCGGGCCGTTGACTCGGTTCACTTCGTCGGACGACAGTTCTGTCGTCGGCTCGATGTCCCCGTGTGTCTTCTGCCACATATTGTCAGGCCCCCTCAACCCCTCGCCGCACCGCGAATCCGACCATCGAGGATATCACGCGAAGCGTAAGAGTCCGACGTTAACCCTTTTTGTCCTCAGCTAATTATTTTAATAAATACACGCGTTGTCTGACATCCAAGCTGCCCATAGCCGATATGGAATGGAAAAATAGTCAATAGTCGAATCATTAATATTTTACGTGACTTATTGCAATGGTAACGCAGTTTAAATGTTTGTAGGTATTGGATTCTGTTGGTTGAAAGCTTTTTAAATATTTTGCTGACATTGCAAACAGTGTAAGTTATGAAATCTGAAATTGTTATATTTCATCGTCATCGAGGTCTGTAGTAACACATACAAACTAATATTAATCATTTAACTGAAGAGGTGCTACAAATATTTGAGAAGAATTCCAAACACAAATTTCCTTTATAATCCTAATTATTTGAATTACAGAATTGTTGAAGAGGACACCAAGAGGTTCGAAATGTCAAATAAATTCATTTGTTTATCGAGAGCCAGAGAAGTTTTGAGAAACACTGCTCTCAGCTACAAAATTCCATTATAATATCTGGTCCCCTTGTGCGACGTCGCAGCACGCATACGTAGATCTATGGCATGCAAATTCCTATTTTAGGGACGTTTTTTTCACTCTCCAAGGAGGATTAGCCTCTTTGAAGCTCGTCATGCGACGACAGACGCCGCCGTAGGGTTAAATTTGGTTTTCGTCGCGCAATGTTGCTGGGTGCCCGAGATGCGACTTTTTCTTTCACCGGAGGCGACTTTGCTGTGGACAATGATATTTCTGTTGGTTCCCAGACTGTGGACTTTGAACTGACTCCAAGGGGCCTTTTGGAGTCAAGAAAGAAACGAACCACACGCGTATAGTGTGTTCACGGGTGTAATAGATCGTTCTGTAGCAGTTCATCGTCGCGAAGTTAGCGAAACTAGGTCAACTTTAATTTTCAGTTGGCTCCAATAATAACATAGTTAATTGTCTTAATATACTACCATTCGTCGTGAGTTTCATCCCTTCATATTTCAAGGAAACGTTGATTTGTGTTTTCAAATTTAAAAAATTCTTAAAAACAGAGTTAGGATAAACTACGCACAGAGGTTGTACTTCGCTTCTGTTTCTGTGCCGAGTTTATAACATATCGTATTAGAAGAGAATTGGCAAACAACGAAAGCCGCATTGCACACGATCTTGAAAATATTCGCTGCGATTGCTCGGTTTTCGATATTTTTTGTAGATTGAATTTTAAATCGTGACACGCCGGCCCGAAGTCACGACTGTAAGTTCAATATTTATCGTTCGATCTCCTTCGGAAAAAATAACACTTCACGAAATGTCGGACCGATTTCATCCTTACAACGGCATAACTGCGGGAAAGGTCAGGTTCTTTTTAAGAAAGCACTCGAGCTGTAATCCACAGTGGAGCCAGTTTTTCGCGTTCATCGAGGAGTTCGACAATGAACGCTCGAAAGGGTAACGTTAAGTAAACAGCTCCCATACAGAAGCCTTCTGACACGAAAACTTACACGCTTACGCATGTTCTGCCACCCCATCGATGATACTAGCATTGGAATAACATGAAGACTTTCTAGAAATAACAGGTATGGTAGTTTCTTCTTTTAGTTGTTTAGTAGTTTATTTAAACTTTTCACTGCATAGATAACTGCCTATTCTCGTTGCTAAACGAACTGCACAAATCGATTGACTCCACTTGTTGAAAAATCTTAAATTTAAGTGTCAAAGCACTCGGTATGGTCATAACATTTTGTATTATATTTATAACAACGAAAAGAAAAGAACTTTTTTCAATATTTATTTGAATTTATATTATAAAGGGAATTTAAAAAAAAAATGTACAATTTTTTATCGCATTTCTGAACTATGTATTTGTTTTATGGAGTTAATTGATTTGCGTATTGAACGGCTCACTTGTGCTCTGTCTTTAATTCTAATTTATGCTTCTAGATGATTTCGCTTCATCTCGTTGTCAGCAACGTTCCATCCATAATTATAGTTCAACTCACTAAATAACTACATTGATCTCTACTGAGCTCGTCCCATCCTTAATTGCAGTTCAAGCCACCAAATGGCTACATTTTCTCCCAGCCGATCTTGTTCCAAATTCTCCGTAACGTAACGAGTGTTCATTAATATTAACGATGATCGTTGCCATATTAATAAACGGTCAATTATGCAAATATTTGTTTGCAGCACGCTTCGGGAGAAAGTCGCGATAAAATTGATGGAAACAAGAGTAAGAAACGGTAGCCTGACTCGACGGTGGTGGATCGACGAAACTCGGAAAGAGGTTTCTCGAGGAATCGACGGAGATTTTTGCCGCAGCCGCACACGAGGCGCGTATGCAAAGAGGACGAGACGGGCTCATAACGTATGTATCTCGCTTTCTATCGGAGCCCCTGGAACCATATTAGTGCATCCTGTATTGCGCAAACCGCGGCGGCCGCTTGCAGTCCGGCTCCATATTAGTCGGTGCGCCGCATCCGCATCTACTCATTAATTGGAACATATCTGCGTAATATTATATTATTATATCGAATGGTCTGTCATAACGCGCGCTGAGTAATGAAGAGATTACACGTGATCGTGTGCGCAGGTTCAGATTGAGTGAATTTTAATGTTCCTTTCGTTCCTCCCGAGTGAGGGATGCATCTTTTGCAGAGGACGATTCGTTTGCTCACTGTTCAGGGTTACCGTAGTTGAATCATTAAAAAGAAAGGTGAGATCATTTCATTCTAAATTGCACACTTTTTAGAGTGAAGACTTTTCATGAAATTTCGATACATTGGATTCTTTAACTAGGATTTAATGTGTTTCGAAGAATTTTTCGCCAAAAATTGTATTCTCATTTAACTATTTAATGAGATATTGCACACATATTTATTCATATTTTATGAATAAATTCAAATTAAAGTAGATAGCCAGATACACTGTAAATTTTGTTGGACAGTTTGTATTGTTCTTTGATGTAACCAACGCTGCGAGTGCAAGCATGGAGTGCAACATGCATCAATAACATTCTTGCATAACCTGATTGTGAAAAGTTCCTGTCAAGAATACTTATTTTAACGCATCCTTGAAAAATGTTACATTACACCATAAACGCGCATGAAATTTAATTGATTCTAGGCCACACGATTCGCGTAATACGAAATTGGAGAACGTCGTCATTGAGCACATTTTCGCAGATAAAATAAAACACGCGATAAAATAAGCTTCTGAAAATTAACCTTAAAAAAGAATTTATATTGCCCGCATCTGCTTTTCACATATTCGATAAGCGTGAGTATCGCGTCGTAAGTGTTAAGAAAATTTATGACGGTACTTATCCCATAGCTGAACCATCGGCGCGACACCAGCGGAGAGCTCAGCGCAATATTCGCGACAACAAAAAACGCGCAGCTGTATTTAAAAAAAAAAAAAAAAGGAAACGGAAAACCGGGAGAACAGTGTGAAAACAATTCGACCCAATTGAAGCGACGAGTTAGGCGCAATTATCGTGGCCGGTGCGCGACTCCCTCGCGTTACTTGATAGCGTAATTAGCGTCGTCTAGCCAGTCGGCGTGTGAAACACGCGCCGGTAAATGCGAGCGATCGTATTAATCGTTAACTATCTTGTACGAGCAGCGCACGGCTCACGGCTCTTTAAGCCGCCGTAAGGCCGTATAATAGTGACAGTCGTAAAGTTGAAGCCGCGTCCAATTAATTCCCAGCTCGGCTGGCGTCGGGAAACGATCGCATTCGCCGGCGTCGGGTATCACCTCGTCCCATGGAAACCCATGGAAATTAATTTGAAGGTGTGCCGGCCGTCACACGCGGCTATTGGAAAGTTTGATGCATGACGTGCGACCGATCGCGTCTCGTTTGTTAAATCACCGACTCTTTGGAGCAGAAAAATTAGGACATTAGGAGCTTTGAAGCTTTTTCGTGGCTCGAAACTATAGGTCTGGTAAACGACGTCGATCATTAGTACATGTTAGAGTAATTAAAAAATTTGTAGTTGAGCCTTGGTGTCGGTATAATATCAACCCATTAGCTGCCACGATCCCCATTTGGGGATTTTGGAATTTTACTTACACCACTCGGCGCCAGAAATATATTTGGTACGCCTGACAGTTCGCTTTCATTCTATTTACATATATATCAGTCAATATTCTGTCTAATAGAAACTATAGATTCTGTGATTTGTTTCTTTACCAGGAGCGAACACATTTTGAAATTTGCCTGTAAGAATGTCGGTAGTTAATAGGTGAAGACTTAAGTGCTTTTATTGTAATGAGAACTTCTTGGTTTAGTTATTACAATAGTTGTAGTGGTACACTTAAAGTTGGGTAGAATTTGGAGAACAAATATTTCAAATACTATTTTGAATAGTAGGTGCTATACAGTTTAATTGAAAGGAATAATAAGTTGAGAAACAGAGAGTAAGTATATAACTGAAAGTAATTATACTCAGTCTTTAAAGTATATGGAAACATAGTAACAAAGAGAAAGTCTAGATTTGAATTCGTTTCCTTTAATTCCCTAAAAACTCATTTTGGAGCAGTTTGACTACACCTTTTGTGTCTCCTTATCATGGCTCCTTTATTTAAAACGATAGAAAGTTAAATCCTATCTCTTCCGATAAATTTCTTCGGTGTAGGAAAAATCAGTTCCCACGATCACCGCGAGAATCTTCCCTTGAACGCCACCCTCAAAAGGGATGAATTAACCAAAGGATACACCCTGGGTCTTGAATAAACCAAAGGGTGGTCGGGTGTTCCCGCAGCGTCTCGGATGCTCGAGATAAAGAGACGCGAGGAAACGGATGGTCGTGGCTCGCTATTAATCCCCGTGGCCCAAAATCCCT